CGTGCCGCGCCAGGCACCGACCGCGTCTGCTGCTGCGCATCCGAAACCCAGGAACGGCGACTCTGGAGCCGCCGCCCAGGACAGGAGCGGAGCCGCGTCCGCGGGCAGTGGGGCTATGAGCAAACACGGCTCTGGGGTTCACAGAAAACCAGGGGCACAGAGATACGAACGTGGCCCGGCGCCGCGGCAGAGCCAGCAGAGGCGCGTGCAGGAGCCGCGGTGAGCAGACGACATCTGCAGGGCACTTACCGAGGCACCGCCTTCCCATTGCAGAACAAAACTAAAGGAAAAAGGACCGAGGGTATTTGCAGCTTTAGATTGTTTTAAAAACCCATGATTTTAAATGTTGGCAATGTATCTTTGGCTCCTCGCAACGTTTTCCAGAGGCTGTTAGAGCTGTGTGTACTTTAAGAGCCCAAAGGGAGAAAATTCCCAAGACACCCGAAACTAGAGAAGCAAGGGCACAACTCCATGGCTGTTACGCGTCCTATTAAAAGTCAGGATTTCCAAAGTTAGCGAACTCAAAGCTACAGCAGACACTGAAACAGCCCGTGCTGGAAAGGCACTGCAGGAAGTGGAAATGCCGATCCAGTACCAGTTTGCAGAAGTGAAACATCTCAGCGGAGACCAGAGCTCCCAGTGCCCAGAGCTCCCCCAGCAGCAGCCTCCCTGTGGGCAGCGTGGGCTGCAGCAGGCAGCGCCCGGCCTGCCCCCGGCCCTTGTGTGAGCGCCTCCAGCACCTCCCTCGCCTGCCCCCACCACAACCCGCACACCAAAGCCACTTCAGAGCGTCCTCTTCTCTCCCTGTGACCCTTCTGCCTCCTCCTTCCTGATCTAGTAAGGGAGTCCCTACATGAACTGCTCAAGGCCTGCTCCTCTCGCCCTGCTATGTTGAAGTTTTTCCAAGTACGATGTTTACAATGACCTCAATCAGCCTCTGTCTCAGAAGGTGACTTCTCCCAGCCCTGCATTCTGTTTAACGTGGATCAGCGAGTGTCCCAGGACACAGATACTGGAGCCACAGATGTCAAGGAGGCCAGGAGCAGACAAAACAAAGACGCTTCCCGTGTTTTCCCAAACTTTCATGCTACGATTCCCTAATAAAAACGTGGAGCAGAGCAGGCAGAAGTGCAAACCTCAGCACACGTCTTTGGCTGCCTCATTCATGCTCCAGCCTTGTCCTCCTCCTCAAGAGGGGTTTTCTCTCTACAACCTGGCAGCTGCTTGCACGGAGAGAGGGGAATCACAGCCCAGGGTGCGACAGGGTCAGCTGGACCCGTGGCTTCAAGCAGAACCCTCCGACACTGCGGCGGTTGCAGACACAGGTTTAAAACCCAGGGTTTTACTCACAGAGGTAAACCAACATTATGGTCAGTACAAAACCCCTAAGCGAGTTCTGGTGTCATTTAAATTTGAGGTACTCTGTGCTCTCACACTTTCAGAATTTGACGTGCCACTGGTTGTCATCTTTAGGTTTACTTGTGACCGTATGCGGGGCAGGCCGCACATTTCGGGTCTCCTCAACCTCAGGAAGGTATGACCAAACCCATTTTACATTGGCTTCACATTTGTCAAACTTTTCTTCACAGTCACGAAAGAATTTATTTTTACAATACAGACTTAGGTTCTCCTGCACGATCCTGCCACGAGTCTCCTTCTCTGGAGACATTCAAAACCCGCCTGGACGCCTTCCTGTGCAACCTCATCTAGGTGTTCCTGCTCCGGCAGGGGGATTGGACTAGATGATCTTTTGAGGTCCCTTCCAATCCCTAACGTTCTGTGATTCTGTGATTCTGTGAAATTCAGCAGCCACAGAAGGTCTCTGCATGTGATCTCTGAGCCGTGGCACAGGGAAGTACAGCTGCAAGTCTTCTCTTACAGGGCGAGTATTCTTACCACCAGACTTTAGTATCTTCAACAGGGAAAATGGTTGCTGAATTCAACTTGACCTCCTTTTATAACAATTGTTTGTGAACACCTCTACGTTCTGCACGTTATCTCTAAAATACTGGTCGCATGTTGCCTCTCGATGGTCTCTCTCTACCCTCTCACACAACTTTTGCCCACCAGAACTTTTCTGACCCTTAAACATAAGGAGCTGGCACCGTGGGCTGCGCGTTCCCGTAAGGGCCGCGCGTATCACACAGACACTACGAGCTCTGTGAGACTGCACCCTGTGCACAAACAGGGCACATCAGCAACTGCTGATGTGGGTAAGAGCTGTAACTTTAGGGTTTTCCTTTCGGGAAGAAGAGCCGGGCGCTGTGCCTGAACCACAGCCTTTGGCTTCCCAAGAGCTGGCTGTGCACAGGGGAGGACTGAAGCATTTTTGTCTTGTGTCTTTTCAGGCTTCAGGGGGCAAAAAAGTAACTTTTTTACGCGAGTACAGTCCTTTTAACGGCAACACATTGAGAATTGAACTTCAACTAGGCAAGCTCGCTGAACATCACGTTGGCGAGCGCTGCAGGAAGCAAGTTCCACAGATTTAACAGTGGGAAATCCATACAAGCTTTACTGCCAGTACAGACATCAGGAAACAGCGCCACAGCGACCTGTCGAAAACCTGTCTACATCAACGAGACCAGAGTTAAAAGCACCCAACAGTGGCAAGCTGCAAAGCAGCGTCAGGAGCCGGTTACGGACAGGGTTATCTCTGGGAAGGCCGTCACTTCCCACCCTCTGCAGAGGAACGGCGGCTGCGCGTTTTACCTTTTGCCGTGCTGGAGGTGGACGCTGGTCTGGAGGACCTCTTGCGCTGGCCGTTCTCTACAGTGTCCTGTGAAGTGGCAGAATCCTCTGTTCTTGAATTTCTTCTATTTGGAGTTTTAGACTTTTCACAATTCTCTTTTGTCTCATTACTAATAAAGTGAGACAAAACAGCTCTGATGAAGTGTAAGAAGAATTACGTTTTTCTACGCGACTCAGACAAGCTGGAGGATGGACCCACACAGGCACCAGTTCCGGACTATTAGCACTGAAGATATGAAATGCTAGAGATACCAGAAGTTTTATCAGATGAAGAATGACCTGAGTAAGCCAGAGTACAGTCCATTTCTATTAAAAATTATCAGAGGGTACAGAATTGAGAAGTCCTCAAAGAGAATATTTTCAACATTAGAAGACCAAGAAATTAGATGCATTATAAATTGTCTGCTCTGTTATCCACAGTCGCCACCATTACTGAAGTCTAGGAAAAGCAAACAAGTCACATTAGAGACTATGATACGGAAATACGGAGTTGAAACTGCAGATGAACACAGGGAGAGATGATCAACTCTTCTGTGAGCACGCCAGCTTTGTTCTTACTGAACAGACGCACTCCATTGATCCAAGTGATTTCTTCAGGCATTAAAAAGCTTCAGATGTATTTAAAACTCTCTTCAAGCTTTAAGGCTTGAAGTTAAAATCTTTCCTTTTTTATAACAGAAAGATTTTTCCACTATAAGAAGTGATTTTAGGTAGTGTGGAAATCCACGTTTCTTGTCTCTGAGACAGTAAATGGAGTCCACCACTACATCTCGTCATTAACTCCTCTTTTACTTTATCACTCTTAACCCTGTAAACATCCCGAGGTTTGGGTGTTTTCTCCTTAGCGCATTAATGCCAGACAATTTCTGATGACTAAGTGGTCCCTGAAGATTAAGCTACACTTTCCTCCTGTGAATTCAAATGTAAGTAACTAATCAAATAGATGGTTTTTTAGTAACAGAGGAGGAGAAAGAAAACCCACTTCATGCCCTTTGGGTGACAGTTGCAAGATTTCAGGCTGTCTTAATCAGAGACCTGACTGAAAACCACAGAGAGCAGAGCCGTGCATTACAGGGGCTCCGCTACGGGGTCGGTGTTTCAGGGGAAGTCCTGCTTTGAGAGGAAAACCTATTGGAAATACCTGAAATACAGCAGCTTGTCAGTGAAAGGACAGACAAACGTTCTCAAGCAAGGAACCGCGCAGCAGAGGAGAACACGGGAGCACCTGGACTGCCTCAGATACAAAATAAATATTGAAATTCCTTTCGCCCCAAGTCAGCATTACGGGCAATCTGTGACCAGAATCCCCCAAACAGGTCACAGACTGGTCTTGTGTGACAAGAAACAACGGTCACCTGCTTTGGGTCATTCCTGGGGGTGAGCAAACAGGCCCTGCCAGCTGGAGCTCAGCTCTTACAGAAACATCTCACAGATCCCAGCACTGAGCCACAGGTGGGATTGCCTCACAGGAACTAACAGATCACTCCTCTCCTTTTATAGGAGGAAATCGAGTTGGCCCAAGTAAAAACACATCCAGCGCTTTGGAGTTCCAAGGCTCCTCTAAAGGTGGTACCATACGGCCTTGAAGTCCAGGAGCTCCAAGCTGATGGCTGTGAGACTCAGCCATCACTGGCCACTTGGCCTCACAGCTTTTCTGCCTCTCGTCTCGCTCAGAAAAGGGTCAGTTCAGACAAATCCAAACAGAAATGCACTTGCAGTAATTTGATGTGCAGTAATTTGATGTGCTGCATGGGTCTGGAGAACACAAGGACACTTCACTTGGGGAATCTGTCCATCTGCCCAGTGCCACACCTTCAGCTTTTTAGAAAAAAACTACCCTAAAAAAGACTTCCTGTGAAATTTCACTTCGCCTTTGGCACAACTAGAAAGGTAAGTACAGTTCAGTATTCAATTCAGACACTCCTGATCTGAGAAAGCGTTGCCATGTTCATCTCTTACTAAAGAAGCCACCGCCTGATTTCCTGAGCAGCCACCCGAGCGAACCACGTCTCTTGCCCTGCCCTGGGGACCACGTCGCTGACGAGGGCAGCATAAAAGCCCCAGCCCAATGCCAGCACAGCTATCTGAAACCTGAAGGCCTGTCCTTATAGCTGCCTAGGCCGAGTTGAAAAGCCTGGTGGGTTTAGAATCTAACAGTAATGGACCCTGGAAATCATATTTTCATCTGACAGAAGACAACCATTTGATATTTGATATTTTAATTACTGAATGTCTTAATTGGGACAAGATGAAGTTTCTATCTGACTTTCTTATCAGGTTTTGGCAAAGTGTCAACAAGCAAACACAGGGGAAATCTGGAGAAAACAGTCACGAAGGCAGCAGAAGAACAAATGTTAGAAAGACCTACTTGCATAAAACAGAAACGCACACAACAGCTGGGCTGCAGGCTCTGGGGGGTTTAGTTTGGATTTGTTTTCAGTAAATACTGAACAGTGGAACCATCAAGACCCTTCCAGGCCTGAAGGGGTAAGAGGAAACACCACCCAAAGCACGAAGACAAACCCAGGAAAACATTACCTTACACTCTGCATTTCAGCAGTTTCAAAACATTCAACTGGCCCAGCTTCTTACCAGGACAGAAAGGGTATGGACAAGAAAATGAAAAGCAGTAGCAGAAGTTGTGCAATTGAAGCAAAGAGAAAGGGGCTTCCTCCCCTGAAAGCTGTATCTATTCTGAGTCTACACAGACTATCTCCTTACCTTTGACCAGCAACTACTGGAGCATTTGTTTCAAGTTCTACAAGAGAAAAAGATAGTTTTTAAGTCTGCTGTAGAAGTACGTACCTGCTGACAAGGCATGACTATCTCACATTTTTCTCATTATATATCAGCTCTGAAGAATAAACTTCTCTTGTCTCTCATTATGCCCAAAGCAAAGTAAGCTGGTGTCAAACCAAGACCCACGTCAGCCAAGTGCTCCACACAAGTGCCACAGGGAAAAGTTAAAAGGAACTCTGGAGAAGAAAACTGCAGAGAAACCTCCTGACAAGGGCTACTGACCTCTCTCTTTTTAAACTGCCCTTTTAGACAGTTCATTACTTCTAAAACTTCTAGGTTTTATTAGTTTTAAACCTTAAAAGTACTCATCTGGATCTATTATGTATGTAAAATTTTGCCTTAACCCCACCACCTCTCACTGCAATATCTTCTCGTGCAAAGGAAGACCATTTTCTGAATCCAATTTACACTTCTAACGAATTGGAATAAACCTCTCGGGAGACGATGTCCAGAGAACTCTGACCTGCGCCGTTCTTTCTCTCTCTCTCATAGAGATTTTGTGTGTACAGAACAGGCTTCCTTTCGAGTCTTCACCTCAATAAACACCTTTCCTTTCCACCACATCAGATTTCTAATATTTTCACTGTCCGTCTCTTCATTCTCCCCAGATCCTCTGTTGCACAGGAGTACCTATACCTGTTCAGCACCTCTCGTGAGCCAGAGCCACTGCTTTAGGGGCTGCCATTGCCATGTCATGCAGGAACTCGCTCTTTGGTGGTCACACCGCCTATAGCATGCTCCGTATGGAGCCGTGGTGCACAAAACTGGGGCTTTGCTTTTAAGATCAATTTGGTCCCCAGAGTTTGCTAGGACGTGCACAAGGAATAAAGGTGTGGGGGCAAAAAAAGGAAGAAAACAGATAAAATTTGTCCCCTTACGGCAAATACTCCTTATAATTTGTATTTTTGGAGCATCAGACTTTCCACTGTAAGTGTGTATAGCTCAGTCTGGGAAAAACGGGTTTCTGGGTAAGAACAAAAATTGACTAAGTAACGTAAGGCAAGAGTTACTTTGCTTCCCACTCAAAATCTGAACAGGGACAAGATCCAACAGTTAAAACCAGCAGCGTCAGTGCATCCCCTCCAGCAGGAACTCCCTAACACAGCCAGGTCAGCACGGGGGCAACGCGCCGCGAGTGACTCGACTGGGTTTGTGACCATCTCAGCTGAGGGGGAGGATGGGGTACAGCAATGCTGTACCATTTTTCCTTTCTGAAAGCACCACTTCGAATCATACGGGAGGTGGCAACTTGATGGAGAGTGGCGCTGCCCACATGCATGGCCACATCCCTCCCTTGTCCCTACTCATCCTGGAGATGACGTTTGTTAGAACACCACAGAACTGATGGTGAAACGCCATGGTAGTGGATGGCAACAAAAAGTCACCTGCCAGGGCTCCACCCTGGAAACACTGCTGGGGCTCCATTGGCAGCTGCCCAGAAAAGAAAGGGATCACAGCTCCAAAACATTCCCAGCCTGGCTTTTGAAAATGTTTTCTGAAGTGTGCCATGTAAAAGGAAATCTCCTATTTGCTCTTAAAAAACTTCAACACTCAAACACGACGAGTCATGACAAAACCAGTCCCTCCAGCCCGCGACTGAGCATCTACAAACTGCTGGGTGATGCTTCCATTTCTTTTACTTGATCTGAACCATAGTGAATCTCCAAGAAGGCTTCAGAGACATCTAAAGCACAATGGATCCAACAGAGAAAAGCAATCCCCAAAGCACAGATAATAAAAAACCTCCAACCACCAAGCACATCAGTGACCTTTAAATAGTCATTAAAATAAACGCATTTTCAGTTACAAACAAAGTTTACATCACCTATACCCTGCTTTGCCAAAGTCAGATTTACCTGTTCTTTGAACAGTACTTTCTGATGTCACGACTGAACTTTTTTTCTGCGTTAGATGTTGAGAGGATGCTGGAATAAAAATGGAGGGGAAAGAGCATTATTTTCAAAGGGAGTCACAAGGATTTCTGCTGGGCAATTGAGCTGCTTCTACAAAATGCTGCATCTGCCATCTCACCGCACGTTTTTGTTGGTAGATGCAGTTGTCTTAACCCACCCCTCTACCCTTACCACACACGCTTCCCCAGTTTAAAAAAAAAACAACCTTTGGCAAAACCATCCCAAGCAAGTCTTCTTGAACCAGTGAGGAAATGAAGTATCATAAACCACGTTTTTAAAGGTAACGGGTTTTTACCAGACTGAGAAATTAAAGAAAGTCCTAGAAATTCAAGAGTTTTGTCTCTCTCGCTTTCATGCTCATTTCAACAGAAGTTCTGGGGGAAAAGGACATCTTTGTTAATGCAACAATGCCCTCACTATTTCCATTAAATATTTTATTTTATGCTCCATAGGCTCTCTTTCAGTCTCTGGCAACAAGATGATGTGACTTCACAATTCTTAGGTTGCCAGATTAAAAAAATAAGGTGGAAAAATGACTCTTGTCGGGCCAATGCTTTCTGGGTTTCTCTTCTACGTGATCACTAACTTAGGAAGAACATGAAGACAAAAAGTTAAGCATTTCTGTACAAGTAAAGAATATCCCCTTCCAATTTCTTTTCCTAACAAACCAGAATTCCTTCAAAGAGGAAAGCAGTATTATCAGGATGAACTCAAAGTGTCATCATTAAGTCAATAACTTGAAGAAGTTATAAAGTCTCTGGCAAGACTGAAGCAGAACACTAGTATCTACCAGTATAAAAGGCACCTTCAGCATCACTTCTGTCATTACTGATACATCCACTTCTTCTCCCCACTTCTAACAGCTCCGTGAAGTCACCCCTCTGTTACTGCATCGCATGCTCATGAGAAATACCCCACTGAAGCAGTAAAAAAAACTGAAATAAAACACCATGGCCTCAAGTTGCGCCAGGGGACGGTTAGATTGGATATTAGGGAAAATATCGTTACTGAAAGAGTGGTCAAGCACTGGCAGGGGCAGCCCAGGGAGGTGGTGGAGTCACCATCCCTGGAGGTGTTCAAAAATCGTGTGGATGTGGCACTTGGGAACATGGTTTAGTGGCCATGGTGGTGTGAGGTGGACGGTTGGACTTGATGATCTTAGAGGTCTTTTCCAGTCTTAATGATTCTGGGACTCTATGATCTGATTAACGAAATACAAGCCTGTGTACCACTGAGATATTAGAAACAAAACGTCAGCTGTCAACCTTGGCTACAGTGTCTAAACTTCATGGAGAAACACACCCAGGAAGCCTACAGAAGCGATCTCATTTCTCCCGTTTACGCAGGCCTTACCTGTGCTTTGGAGCAGCTCCTGATGTGCCCCTGCTTTTTCCTCGGCCATCCCAGCCCCGGTTTGCTCAGCTGGCAAACCGCTGTGGTTACTGCCGTTGGCGCTGGGCGCTGTGGGGGCCAGGTCTGGGGCTGCGGGAGCGCCGCCAGCCAGCAGCACGCTGGGAGGAGGAGTGCTTGTCGGTGCGCCTGGGGACGCGGAGGTGGGAGCAGCGGCCACGGTGCTGACGCTTGGATTGCCAGGCCCAGAAGTGCTCTGTTTCGTAAGGCTGGGTGCTGGAGGCGTCACGGTTTTGTTATTGAGCTCTGCTGGTGATTGCTCTGTTCCCAAACTGTTTGGGACTGATGCCTCTAGTCCCTGACCTTCAGCTTCTCCATCCACAGCATACTGCTCTTCCCCTTTCTCAAGGGAGCCAGTGACTTTCTTACATGCTTTAGTCAGCAAGAGTTGGCCAATCTTGTCGACTTTTCCCTTTCCCTTACTTGACGAAACGGGACTGCGTCTGTTCCCAGACCCTGGACTACTCGTGAGAAGAGGTGAAACAACAGGTCCAGACTGCATTGTGGGGACAGAGCACTGCTCGCTTGACCCAGCACTCTGAGGTGTCTCCTCTGGGCTGAAGTCTTTGATTTGCTGAGCAGGAAGATGGGAAGGAACACTGGAAGAAGTTGTAGCGGGAGAAGGAAGCTGAACTGGAGGTGCCAAGGGATTAAGAACCAGTGGCCTGTTGGTGGGAATACTGGAAACAGGACTGCTGGATGATGTGCTGGGAGAAGCGGTCCCGGAGAACTTTATGTTCTGCGGTAAATGCAAAGGACCAACGACTGCAACCGACTGAGGCATGAGGCTGGAGTTAGAAGTCATCGGGGCCGCTGGAACCGTGCTTGACTGAGAGCCCTTCATGACCTGAATTATTGATGATGAGTTTATAAAAACGGGTGTAATGAACTGTGGCCGGGCGTTAGACTGAGCCGCCGACTGCCCCTCAGACACCATAACCTTGTTCCCTACGTTGGGCATCGTGACAACAGTTGACACTAACGCAGGTTGCAAGTGAGATGGCAACGGTGCTGACGTATTAGCAGATGTAATAGGGTTTGAAGTGACAAAAACTGTTATCTGGTTGGGAGGTAAAGGACCTGAAATAGAAGAAGCGCTGACAGGCCTTTGCATTATGGGAGGAATGCTCTGTGCGACGTTGGAGTTTATTTCTCCCAGTTCCTGATGTCCCGGATTTGAACAGGGCTCATTATTTTGAGGCAAGCTAAGTGGGTTAGATGGCTCTTTGCTCGAGGATGAATCTTGCAGTGGAGGAATGACAGCGATCTTCTTGAGCTCCTCACCAGTGGTGACTATTGGTGCCATTTCAAGACCAGTCAGCCCAGGGGGCTTGATGGTTACGTTGGGAGCTCCAGAATTATCAAGAAGTTGACTTAAAGAAGTTGGTGTCTCCCTCAGAGCTGGAGATACCACGGCTTTACTCTCCTCCAAGACTGGAAGCTTACTGGTGTCTAACGCCTGTCCATCTTTTTTCGACTGTTCTTCTGGAACCAACATTTTCATTTCTGGAGCAGGGAGACCCTTTTGTTCAGTACTGGGCTGGTCTTTGTTACCTTGGACACCTTGTGCACTTGGACACTCGGTATCCTGAGGCGCACTAAGGGTCTCTTTATTGTCTTCAGGAATGCCAGTCATAGCAGGTACAGAAATGGCAGGATTCTGGTTACTCAGCATGTTATTATTTTGAAAACTTGTAGTTGCAGGTGTTGGCAAAGAGGAGGGACCACCCACCATATTTCTCTGTAATTCCATGTTCTGCAAGAGAGGTGGATTCTGCGGAGTTGTCAGTGATAATTTAGCTGCTTTTGAATTCTGTCTGCCAGGGCTTGGTGTAGTTTTCCTGCTGGATCCAGGGCTGGACCTTCGACTATTGCTTGGACTTGCTCTCTTTGTTCCTCCAGTGTTGGTTTGTTTTCCCGAATTCATGACCACACCTTCCAATTTGTGTGACTGCGGAGCAGCAAAACTCGACTGATTGCTAATGGTGAGATTTGATGGGGCTTGCCCAATGGCCTTCAAAGTAGTGGGATTAAGACCCTGCTGATCAAATCCTCTACTGAGATTAGGCCTGGGCGGTAAAGGAATATTTATCTGGGGAGGGAACAGCCCAGCTATAGAAGCATTGAGTCTCTCTGGAGACAAGCTAATTTCTGATGGTTCTGTGCTAGGTGGACGGTTATTAGGAGTCTGAGGATAGTACGGCCTTGGGCTTGCTCTGTTTGGGGTTTTAGGCCTTGAAGTTTGTGATGTGGTGGCAACATTTGGAAAATGGTGTGTGAGGGCGCTAGGCAGAGAATTAGACTGCTGCTGGGGACTTGCACCTTGGGCAGCTGAAAGTGGGGATGGTCCAGGTTTGGATCCTGTCATCATTAACTGGTTCTGTGAAACTACTAAATGAGATGTCAAATTATTCTGAGCTCCTGATGCTGGGGGGCCTTCAGCTCCACCTCCGTCTGGAAGGGAGGATACTGATGAAACCTCTCCGAGGGGTGAGCTGGAAGGATTCTGTACGTTATCTTGATAAACCATTTTTCTTGCATTATTTCCCAGAGGAGGATTGCCTGGCAAGGAAATCCGTTGTTTATCAGGAGATGGGGGCACTGATCCAGGACCTTGCAGGTTAACCATGACTGGCATGTTACCACTCTGTTGCATTGGCATTCGTTGAGCATCCGGATTCAGGGGCCCTCTGGGTGGGTGAACTCCCTGTGGTACAGGAAGCCTGACCGATTTGGGATCCTGCTGCATCATAAGCATCATCATCATCTGCTGCTGCTGCTGCTGCGGGGCTGGCGGTGGTCCTGGGGTTTGCTGTGGCGGGGGCTGCGGCTGTGGCTGCTGCGCGTGTGGCATGAGCTGAGGTGGCATCTGCTGAAGTGGTCTCTGCTCCACCGGCTGAGATGGATAACCTGACACAGCAAGAGGATACAGTCCTTAAAACCAAAGAGCAGAGAAAGCAGAACTTCCACAACGAACAGGATCAGGTAGCAAGCATAGCCAGGAGCCTGCTTATCTTACGCGAGGCTTTACAAATAAGGACAAAGATTTTACTCACTTCTTTAAAATATTTTTACTCAATGTGTGAATGACTCGCATGACATTTAATTAGAGATCTCTCAGTGTCCTGTATCAACTACCAGCTATTGCTCCAGACTCTTGCGACTTGAAAAGTCTCTGTAGCTGTCCATGGGCCTGCTTTCAGTTACAAATGCTGAGTTGGACTTCCACTGATTAACACTCCTTAAAGCAAACTCGAGACTCTGACAGGCGCTGCGGGACAAGGACAAGCATGCTACAGATCTGACATTTTCTAGTGCACAAAGTAGAATCTGCCATGTATTACTTGGCCAAAAATGGTGCTAAGAACCACCCATGTGGCTTGTAATAGAAATTCATGGACTTTGGATTTAATTCTCCCTATGTGCAAAGGATAATTCAAATGGCAGTCTCTATTTCTTAATTCTGAAAAATCAGCTATTGGTTAATGCTAAATTTTTAGGGCATCAGTTTGCGCTACAGCAAGAAATACAGAATTTTTTATCAATTGTGTTATTGCTGAGTAGCTCTACAGTATTCAATGTGACACCTGCAGGATGATAAATAAGAACGCGGCCAAATCCTCATTTTGAGCTAATTCAAAGAGAACACTTAAACAATAATACCAATTCCTTACGAGGAGGCAAAAAAGCTTTGGACTTGAACATGTGATAACACAAATACAACAGAGCTGACACAACGATCAGTAAAAGCTCTCCTGCAGTCATTACACTCAGATAATCCACACAACATCCCACTACCTGGTGGCCTACTTGCAAAATCTGAAAGTTTCGGGCCGGAATTATCTAAGTTCATTCCTTGCTCTCCAGACATCGAGGACTGATCGCTCTCCTCCAGGCCAGCTGGACACGGTTCTGAGGAACTGAAAGAAAAACAACTGCAGTTAAGATCCAGCCCTCACATCAGCGTTTGGCTTCTGCTTCCGTAACCAAGTATTCAAGTAATTAACTCCTAGCACTGCGCACAGACCTGCGGGTACCTCACTAAAATGCCCCACGAGCCCTGTTATAACACAACGAACCCAAACACAGAGTGCAGGTCTGCTGAGAGTCACTCCTGGGCCTTACACACTGACAGAAAGGAATCAAGTTGCCTGGTGCTCTGTTGATCTTCAGCGTTTCCTTTGTTTCTACCTCGAATCTGAGTTTTAAAAACAAAAGACCGCCAATGGATATTCCAAATTATAGAGAGACATATATTTAAACTGAATTTAAACTGATACTGCTGTGACATGTGTAGACATAGTTAAGTATCATGGGTAGATGCACAGGAATTTATTTTAGTGGTAGCACTGTGTCTTCCAGCGTCGTACCCTGAAGTGACCGGCTCAGAATATCAGAGACCTCTGCTAACGGCACAGCAAAAAGGCGCTGAGGCATCAGACATCGAAGTCACCTGCCAGAGCACAGCCCTCTGTGGGACACTGTGGCTCTGTAAAGGATCAAGGACTCACAGAGGGGTTTGGGTTGGAAAGGACCTTAAAGCTCCCCCAGTCCAACCCCCACGGGCAGGGACACCTCCACCAGCCCAGGCTGCTCAACCCCCATCCAACCTGGCCTTGGCCACTGCCAGGGAGGGGGCACCCACAGCTTCTCTGGGCAACCTGGGCCAGGGCCTCACCGCCCTCACAGTAAAGAATTTGTTCCTGATTTCTAATCTAAATCTACCCTCCTTCACCTTAAAGCCATTACCCCCCATCCTGTCCCTCCCCAGCTTTCCTGTGGCCCCTTCAGGTCCTGGAAGGTGCTCCCAGGTCTCCCTGGAGCCTTCTCTTCTTCAGGCTGAACAGCCCCAACTCTCTAAGCCTGTCCTCAAAACAGAGGAGCGTAGTGAGATCGATGTAACAAAAGCTCTGGGTTAAAATTGAAGACATCAGAATAAGCCCACTGAGAGAGGCGACACGCAGAAACACCAAGGACAAAAGAAACTGTCAGCAAAATAAGAATTTGAAGTACATAAAAGTGGAGAGATCTATCTATCTTAATTTTACTTGAGAGTAACGGTTTCTGGCACTTGCACAGCTGACATGGAGACACCCAGGCCTGTCCTAATGTCCTACGAACGACCTAAGAACGTTCAAAAAGCAGCGTGTGACTTGAAAGTCCCTGGACTTCTGCAGGACAAGACTGGGGAGAACACAAACCAAGGGAAAAGTAAGAAATGGGGCAAACGCAGAACTGTCCCAATCACGGCTGCTGAGCGGGCAAGGGCTGCCCAGGACGGCATTTGGAGTTAAACCTTGTGTCTAACCCAGCACAGCACCATGGTCACGGTGCAGCTGTTGGAGGCTCACATGCCCTCCACCCATAAATCTGATGAAAATTGGCAGGTTCATACACACGCCCCTGCAGCACCGCATTAGCAGCCACAAATGAACCAAAATTCTGGCAGCAAAATCACCCAGAGGAGCTGCAGCCTCTGATGTGGATGCCAGCCATGTGAACCAGAATAACCTCCAAAAATTGTGACTAGAAGCTTAAATTGTGATTTTGCCATTTATGATTCCTTCACAGTGGTGGGAGATTAAAAACACTATGGTTAAAGACGAGATCAAGAGCCGCTGCAGAGCATCGCTGCAAAACCAGGTTTAACCCAGAAAACAACTGCGGTGCGAAATCCACTCGTAGAAGAGGTCTCCTGCCAGATGGGTCCCACCAGGCAAGCCGTGCCAGCCCTGCAAAGCAGACGTAAGCTCTGCCCGCTACCAGAGAACAGCAGCTCCTGCAGGAAAGGCCTCTGCTGTAACTGCTGGGAAATTTAAACATAACGGGAATTTCAAACACAGCTGAAATCCACGAGGTGTTCTCAGCGACCACCATTCATTAAAAAAAAAAACCCAAATTCTGAATGCGAGTAACAAGCAAGATGAGAAGTTTGTGTGAGAGGGACGAATATTCCATATTTGTTCTTCCCTACTGCTCTCAATGTAACAAAAACCAACTGCACATGAGGTACAGCACGGATTGCTGCACCAGCTGCATTCTCAAGCACAACCTTCGGATACAAAACCCCTCCTCACAGCAGAGAGAACTCCAGAGGACAAACCCAAAACCCCCAAAACCAAACCCTAAAAGGGCTGCAGATGCTGAAATAAGGTGTGCAGAAACAAAATGACAGCACAGATGCAGGCAGAACCGGCCCTGTCAACACCGCACAATGCCCTGCAATAACTTCTGCATTTCTTCACTCGTCCTGATGGAGTTTCACCTCCTGACGTTCCCTGAAAAGCTCTCTGAACGTGGCCGAAACTCCTTTGTTCACCCCTCGCACGTCCACTGCACACTGGACGCTGCACATCTGAGCAGCAGAGTTTTCACTGAGCATGTTATTTCTGTTCTACCAGGGACCTTTACGGTCTGTGCACAGGGGTTTGTTTGTGCATGTGTTGAATGGAATTAAATAGCCCCTTGTAGCTACAATTACATTTCATCTGGCACCTTCTTCCTCAGGTTACATCCCATTACCTCCAGTCTTCAGGTTCAGAACAGACACGGTCACTTTTAAACAGCCCACTCTTCCTAAATGTCTTGGTGTTCATTCCGATGCTGAGTTGCTCAATTAAGCAAACCCTTAAAACTGTTTTAGACTCAGCTGAATAATCTCTTTCAAGAGCTCCCTTACCCTATTTCAGTAGTAGGGTCTATGAACCACACTAGTAATGGTACTTCTGTTACCATGTTATTACACCTCAGAAATGATTTCTAAGAAAAAAAAACCAGAATCCTTTTTGGTGTGTTTACCAAATTAGCTGTATTTCCACACAAGGTTTGCAGCTCTTAATTCTAAAATATCTGAGGAAGAACGTCAGAACAGAACCTGAGATGAAAAGCATCCTATTTGCTTCTGACACAAACCAGAGCGGTCCAATCCGACTGAAAAGAATCAGCAACTCCACGACAGGAAAATGCTGAGCTTGCCTTGCAGTCACCCGCCTTTTGCTGGGGAATAATCTCAAAAACATTTCTAAGGATAGCTCCCTTCTTAATGGTCCTGCAAGGATAAAGTGTTTAATAGATATCCCATTAACAACCAAAATGCTAACCCATATCCGGTGCCAAGACAGCATTCTGTGGTAGCAACAGCAAGAGAATGCTCACCAAAAATTTAACTGATAGCATAAACACAGAGCGGTATTTTCCTTAAGTAAACCAAAACCTGATTAAAAGCCTGTCCTGCTTGTGCTGGGATAGAACCACAGAACAGAATCGACTGTGACACGGTAACAGCAATTCTGTATACAGGAAAGCTGCATTTCTGAGAAGACTGCAGCACCTGATTGGGTGGCAATAAAGTCGATCACATTTTGGTTTAGTTCACGGCCAGCCCTGGTGTGCAGGTTCCCAGCGGTCGAGGTCTTTAGCAGCTTCGAATTATCCTGGTGCAGAAGCTGGGGGGAGCAAAAGCCAGGGCAGCAGACCCAAGCTGGCCAACAGAAACATCCCACACCAACATCACACTCACTATAAATGAGGGGCTTGTTGGGGATGGCTCCCTTTCCTCAATGGTCACCATCCCTGAAGGGTCTGGCCCATCATTCTGCTCCCAGGGCCCGCTCTCCTGTTCGCTGTGACCATCGCAGTGCCTGACATCCAGCATCCACCACACGGGCTGAGCGCAACGTACTGTACGTTACACCAGAATTAATACTGGGGCTTTTTGTTATTATTATATTAAATCTGTTTCCATCTCAACACGTGGGTCTCCTTTCCTTTTCCCAGTTCCCCTCTTCAGGTGGGGAGGGGTCAGTGGGTGACAGAGCAACTGCCTAAACAGAGAATCACACAGAATCGCTCGGTTGGAAAAG